TGAGTTTAAATTTTGGGAGGCTAATCAGAACCTGATGTGAAACCGTTTGAGCACTGTGGAGCGAAAATTTCAAATTTTGCATTAGTCTTGTAACCACATTGTTTACGTCACTTACACTTCTCGCGTAAGAACTGATGTGAATCAATCTGTCCTTATGGTAGTCAGGGCTACAAAATGGTGAGTGACAATCTGGAAGGAGCGATATACCTAGCTCCGTTCCTCACAAGTTCCTATCTCACGCCTCCACGAGTCATATGATCACAAAAGGCTGCCAGCTGAAACATGGACACAGCTGGTTGGCGTAGCCTGGGCAATGTTGTCAATCCGACAATAGCAGAGTGAGGAGGTGTGACGCGAACACTGGCGCGGTAACCATAGCACGGTGATAGAGGAAATGCTTCGCCAACCCGAGCGTCTGTTCACCATGGAGGTGCGGCTCAAACAGCGTCTGACTGGCATCCAGCGGCTGAATAAGAAATGCTCTTCCCCGGAAGCTACACCTAAGATGGCAGCCCCATCACGGCGGATAGGAGACCTTAGGCCAACCACCTACTGTCTCTGAAACCTTAACAACTGTTACAGAAACCAGCAGAGAAAGACATCGAACTGATTTAACGGCAACGACTTTTAGCGCAAAACAACGGACACGAATTGGATCATGGAATGTATTGACGTTAGCCCAGCAGGGTAAACTGGCACAACTCGCCAACGAGGCGCGACGCATGAAGCTAGAAATCCTGGGACTGAGTGAAGTTCGTTGGCCAAACTTTGAAGAACACAAACTGCCGTCGGGACAGGTACTACTATACTCTGGTATTCGAGGTGAAAACGCTCCCCGCCATCGTGGAGTTGGTCTCCTACTTAGCGTCCAGGCAAGTGCTGCGCTCATCAAGTTATGCGCCAACCGATGCTGCCGAGCTACAGGACAAGGAGAATTTTTACAGTCAACTGAATGCCATCGTGGATAAGGTTCCAAAGGGTGACATCAAGATCTACACTGGCGACTTCAATGCGAAGATCGGCTCCGACAACACGGACTATGAGCGTGTCATGGGACGCCATGGTCTCGGCGAAATGAGCGAGAACGGTGAGCTGTTTGCAGAATTTTGTGGCAATAACGACATGGTGATCGGGGACTCGTTCTTCCCCCATCGGCCAGTGCACAAAGTCACGTGGGTTTCCCGTGATGGACATACCGAAAATCAGATCGACCACATCTGCATCAGCCGAAAATGGAGACGGAGCCTTCTTGATGTCCGGAATAAACGCAGCGCCGACATCGCGTCTGACCATCACCTTCTAATCGGTGAAATCCGCCTACGCATGGCGCGGATCCAGCGACGGGAGGAGAAACTCGGGCGGCGGTTCAACACACGCCGACTTGAAGATCCAGCGGTAAAAAGGTCTTTTGTTGAAGAACTTGAGACTCGAGCTGCGGACGTTCCAGAAGGTGGCAGCGTAGAAGAACAATGGACGGCCATCAAGAATGCCTTTATAGAAACAAGCGATAACAACTTGGGTGAGCTGCGCACCCAGAGGAAAGAGTGGATCACAGATGAAACCTGGCGGAAGATTGAGGAGCGTAGAGAAGCAAAAGCCGCGATAGAGCTGGCGAGAAACAGAGGAGCCAAGAACGGAGCCCGTCAACGGTACTCGGCTCTAGAAGGAAGGAAGTCAAGCGCTCTTGGAGACGGAACAAGCGAGCGTGGGTGAACTTCCTGGCCGACGAAGGGGAGAAAGCCGCAAACACTGGCGATATACGCCTCCTCTACGATATCTCACGACGCCTGAGTGGAGCAAGGATGAACCCGAGGATGCCAGTGAAGGACACGACTGGACAATTGCTTACCGACCCCACTGACCAGCTAATACGCTGCTTTGAGCACTTCGAACACCTTCTTCAAGTTTCGACGGCCAACCAGCCATCAACATCTCGGCATGATCCGCCTAGGGTGCGGCGCATCACTCGCGTCAATTCCGAGGCCCCATCACTGCAGGAGATTGAAGCAGCTATCCGAAGCATCAAATCAATGGGGTCGATCGCATATCAGCAGAGATGCTCAAAGCTGACCCCATGCTATCCGCACAAATGTTGCATCAACTATTCTGTAATATCTGGGACAACGCAACTTTTCCGGCCGACTGGATGCAGGGCATCTTAGTGAAGGTCCCAAAGAAGGGGGATCTGACTTTGTGCGACAATTGGCGAGGCATCATGTCACTGTGTATTGTTCTCAAAGTTCTGTGCAAAGTTATCCCGAATCGGATACAGGAGAAGATTGACGCGACTCTCCGACGGCAGCAGGCAGGATTCCGTGCCGGAAGATCCCTAGTGGACCATATTGTCACGCTCCGCATCATCCTGGAGCAGGTCAATGAATTCCAAGAGTCCCTTTATTTGGTATTCATTGACTACGAAAAAGCTTTCGACCGTCTCATTCAGGAGAATCTGTGGGGCACCCTGAGACGCAAGGGAGTCCCGGATAAAATCGTCAACCTCATCGAAGCGCAGTTTTCACGTGCAGAGTTCTGCATAACGGAGCCTTGTCCGACCCTATCCAGGTAGTCGCTGGTGTAAGACAAGGATGTATACTATCACCGCTACTGTTTCTCATCGTAATCGACGAGATCATGGTAGGTGCAATTGACCGTGTACCGAACCGTGGGCTGCTTTGGCAGCCTATCACCATGGTGCTCTACTAGCACAACGGCGCTCTGATATGCAGAGTAAGCTCAATGACCTAGCCGAACGCTCCTCTTCGGCGGGTCTCACCATCAACGTCAACAAGATCAAATCGTTGGATATCAACACGGGCAACCCTTACAACTTTACAGCAGTGGAGAAGGTCGAAAGTTTCCAATATCTTGGCAGCCAAATAGCGTCGGACGGTGGGACCAAGAGCGGCATAGGTGCACGAATCAAGAAGGTTAGGGCTGCCTTTGCGAGTTTACGAAACGTATGGAGATCCAACAAGATAAGTCAACGCACCAAAATCCGATTTTTTAACTCGAACGTGAAATCTGTGTTGTTATACGCCAGCGAGACGAGGTGTGTATCAGCGGAGAACACTCAAAAGCTGCAGGTCTTCATCAACCGATGCCTGCGATATATAATTCGTGCCTGGTGGCCTCACAACTGGATCTCGAATGCCGAGCTCCATCGTAGATGTCATCAGAAGCCGATAGCAACAGAAATTCGAGAGCGAAAGTGAAGGTGGGTCGGCCACACACTTCGACGGGGCGGAAACGAAATCTGCAAGCAAGCGCTGGATTGGAATCCGGCAGGACATCGCAGCAGAGGCAGACCCAGGGGCTCATGGCGGCGGAGCCTCAATAAAAAAATTAAGCAAGTCGATAGGAATCTGACCTGGGTCAAGGCAAAAGCGAGCAGCCGCCCAGGATGGAAGTCTTTCACGTTGGCCCTGATGGTGCACAGGACCCTTAAGTAAGTAAGTTATGGTAGTCAGTATGTTCCATGGATGGTTTTGTATTATTGGTCAACTTTACGTGGAATATATCGCAAATTGATAATTATTAATTTACAGGCAACCAATTCACGATATATTCCACATAAAGTTGATCGATGTTACAATACCATGACTACCAAAACCATTACTAAATCAGGTCTCAAACCATAAGTTAAAATGTTCTAATATAGTTCTCTTTCCGAAAATGTATGGAGAAAACAACTATTTTGAATGGTAATGGTTCTTAACAACCTATTACTTATCCGGCACCGGTGGTGTAGTGGTAAGCGTGACTGCTTTCTAACACCCCGATGGGTCAGGGTTCAATCCCAGCCGAGGTCGGTGGGATTTTTCTGAGGCATAAAATCTCTGGTCACGTCTTCCTTCGGAAGGGAAGTGAAGCCGTTGGTCCCGGCCCATGTGTGTTGAATGGGTGCAATATCCTACGCAGGTGTGGAAAGCTGCCTTCCTGCACATTCGATTGCCGTCAATGTATGGCAATCGATGTCCGTCGGTGATTGGCACTAGATTGCGGAACAGAGACCGACGTTAATTAAAGGAAAGAAGAAGAAGAAGAAGAAGAAGAAGAAGAAGAAGACCTACGCTTTCTCGAAAATAGGCCGATCAACAACAGAGGGATTTTAGAACATCTTAATTTATTTTCGAAGTGTCAAATTTAAGTGAACAATTTTCTGGGTTAAATTTAACTCGTGGTTAAAAGTGACGTTTCAAAATTTATTTTTTTTTGTTCGAAAATCCCCGTGCTGTCGATCGACCGGTTTTCGAGCCATGGATGTCAAAATTTAACTTCTTGCCTGTCAGAAATAACCATACTCCGATAGCAGGGTTAACCGATAACTTTCCATCTGTCAAATTTTAACCAAAAGTTTAAAAAAATCCACCAAATGGTTTAGAGCCTAGATAAGCTTTGGATAATTCTATCAATTGAAATGGATAGAGGAGCAGGCAGCAGATGAATATAAATAAACCAACACTTCATAGCGGACGTTGCTTAGATTGACGAGAATACGTAAATTCAATGCTAAAAAAATTGAATTTAGAATACTGTGAACCTTCCCGGATTTCCTTTAGGATTCTGTTTATTTCTGTTTGTCCTGAGCTAGACCAGACACAACGTTAGCGACCGTGGCTGATTCAGACATGACACGAGTCTTTCATCGACCTGATTATGGGTATGTAGGCGCATCTAAATGCACTCGATGCAGGATAAAACACAGAAAGTCATGATTTGAATGCTTCCCCTGTCATGGAACCGTGCAACGGTTGAAAGCGGGATAGAGAAGGCAGAAATGGTAGCCGGTGATAACGGTGACAACTGTTATTACAAAGAGTAATTTATGCGGAAGAAATACAGCAAATTGACTATATATGTATGACTCACGTATATGTGCTTCGTAGAAACAATTCCCGCGACTGAATTATGAATGAAGTCCATCGATTTTCTCAGAGTAACATATCCGGATTCCACGTAATGACCACCATTTTTTTTCTTTGTTTACATTTTCCAGGAAATCTCTTCGTGACCTACAAACGTCGATAACAGCACACGGACGGCTCGTTTCTAGATATTTTTTTGTCATACTCTCTCAACCCCCACTGCAATCGTAGTAGTTTTTTCCCACCGCGGAACAACCCCCATCATCGCAACAGGCCGCGTTCCTCTGCAGAGCCTGAATTATCGATATTGCTGCAATAAAGCATATTTTTTGCACGATATTCGGTAAAGTGATAATGACTTTGACGAGTTGCACGAAACACCCTCTTCTGCTACTACCACTACTACATCGTTAGTTCCCATCATCATTGAGCAAATACATAGTTCCTTACTGAGGGACAAGGAATAGAGTTATAATTTTACCCACCACACCCCGCCTACTATTTGATCGCAGGCGATCCACACGGAATTTTTTGATTGCACGCGAATGAGTCACGGCATACTTGGACTGGGTGGAGGCTTGGTACTTAGCAGCAGCATGAAGCCCGGAAGTGACGGTAGTAACAACAACACAACTAGCAAGACGAATGGAATCGGTGACGGGGGCAATCGGGAGGTCGTAGCCCGCTGGAGAGTTCCCATGCACGGGAAGATCCACGAGGTGGAGTTTGAACATGGCACGGCCAGTGGCAAGCGGGTGCTGTGGATTGATAAGGAGGAGATTTTCCGACGCGAATGGATGTTCAAACTGGTTGGGGAGGATATGTTCAAGCTGGAAGACAAGCGGTGCATTATCAGGGTGAGAGGTTGGGAAGGAAATTACCGAAGGGAAAGTTTATAATTTAATTGAATTGAGTTTGCAGGTTGATCCGCTGCCGGGTTTCAAGTACAGCTACTCGCTGTACGTGGATGGGAAGTCGTACGAACAGTTCACGGAATCGCAAGCCAAAGCTCTCAAAACGTGGGAGGTTAACCTGGGCGATAACTTCTATCGTATAGTTCTAGGTAATGAACTTAATTGTATCAAATATATTATAGGCAAATCAACGTTTTGTCAAATTTAAATTTCAGAAAAGAACACGCTCAACATCTACGTCAACGGTAAACTGATTGAGGAGAATGTGAGTACACTTACCTTGGCGTGCAATCCTAGCCGAACAGCAGTATGAATTACACCGTTTCTTCTTGATTGCAGGGTGAGTTCGTAGATGGCGGCACCGATACGACGTTCATCGAGGACGGAAACACGTTCGTGTTGACGGCACGAACCAGTGGTAATAAACGGGACGGGATTGTGCATTTGCTAGCGGTGAACGGTGTAAGCGTGGACGATTCATGTGGCGGTGACCGTGATGGAGATGCTCAATGAAAAACTATTTTGAAAAGACATGTTTGAGGTTACAGTGCAATTTGGATCGTTATTAAGTGTAAAGTGTTGCTTACGATTTACACGCTGCTGTTTACTGGAAACCTGTGTACGATGTTTTCTAAATGTGAAAAATACTGATAAATATATTTACAGAGCGATAGACAGTTCGATATTTGTAGAGTTTTCGTATTCAAACTTGCACACATTAAATGGTTTTCAGTTTCAATGTTCTCCATTCTTATGTTTAATCCTATAGCATCCCCTGCTAATCCGACAAGTTTGCGGCCGGATTAGCGGGGCTGATCCGATAATCCGACTGTCAAATCCTTAAAAATCAATGTTACCAACCTAACAATGTAAAAAAAAGCTCCATAAGAGACCGTGATGTCGGAGTACTGTACTGTACGACATAGGCTGTGTCCCAATTGCCGAATTAAATTTAAGGTGATTCCTTGTAGAGTCCACAAATGGCCATCACGTAGGCTATTCATGCACTTCCACTTCGAATTTTCACTTATAACCATCTCGGAAATTTATTCCCCCTTTCACCTGAAATTGTTACTTCATGTGTGCAGTACAGTAAACGTGGAGTTACAGTTTCATTGTGGTATGTATTGTAGAAGCTGATATTTGTGCACTTAAGCTCTGAACCATTTGGTGATTTTTTTTTACTTTTGGTTAAAATTTGACAGATGGAAAGTTATTGATTAACCCTGCTATCCGAGCGTGGTTATTTCTGACAGACAAGAAGTTAAATTTTGACAACCTTGGCTCGAAAACCGGTCGATCGACAGCACGGGGATTTTCGAACATAGAAAATAACTTTCGAAATGTTAAGTGACATTCAGAAAGTTAATTTCAATGTTCGAAAATCCCTGTGTTGACGATAGACCGATTTTCGAACAGAACTCAACTACAGTTGTCAAAATCTAACTTTTTGTCTGTCAAAAATAACCACGCTCGGATAGCTGGGTTATTCGATAACTTTCTATGTCACTTTCAACTACGAGTTAAGGCTGTGAACTATTTGCCGAGTTAAATTTAACTCGTGGTTAAAAGTGACATTTCGAAAGTTATTTTCTATGTTCGAAAATCCCTGTGCTGTCGATCGACCGGTTTTCGAGAAGAACTTAGCCAAGGTTATCAAAATTTAACTTCTTGTCTGTCAGAAGTAACCACGCTCGGATAGCAGGGTTAATCGATAACTTACCATCTGTCAAAATTTAACCCGGCAAATGGGACACAGCCTTAACGGAAAGTCCATAGTGGGAGCGTCATACCATAGAGGTAACTCTAAGACCAGAAGGTCCCGAAGAAACGAGCTCAACTTTTTGACTCAGCTCTGGTACTATCTTCGGTCGATGCACCCCTCGAAACATTGGAAAATCCACGAACCCTTCATTTTATCTGTCAAACTTTCATAGCGAATCAAAACAATCATAGTGTAATACTGGAATTTATACTAGAATGGGATACGTTAATCGATTTGCTTGGGACCAATAGGCTAGTCAAGTAGTGAGACAATTTAAAATCATTAGTTTCCAATTAATCATGTTTTGTTGTTTTTGACATCATCCACATCAAGAGGGCCAGTCACTTCGAATGTATGGAAATGGTAGAAAACCATTTGGAAATGCATGAGAATTTTCAGTTTTTATTCATTATCGTCTTTATGGGCAGTTTTAGATGCACAAAAATTGCACGAGTACATTACTATGGTGATAAGGTAAACACTCGTTTATTTGTTTCCTTCTGTGAAAGCATGTTTAGTCACAAATCGTGGATTTTCTGATATTCTCCATAATTCAAAAATGATTTTCCAACCACTGAAGGGGCGACATCTCTCGGATCTTCAGTATAGCTACTACTCAAATCATATAATTAATTGATTGTTGGTCATACCACCAGAACCACGAAATGCAAAATAAATGTCACTGATATTAGTACCAAAATTTATAAGGGCATTTGCATACTTTTTAGTTTTTTTGATTTAAATTAGTTTTGACTGTAGTGAAAGCGTTGCGTCAACTGCGACTGCGAGTGAAACGTGAAATAGACTTCTCTAACGTTCGTAAAATGCACAAGTATTAGTGCAGAACTCGGGGTAAATTATAAGTATTGGTGCAAGAAAATCTTTGAATTTACCTAATTCTTTTTGCAATTTACAAACGTCAGAGAAGTCTACGGTGATGAAAAAATACCCAAAATTAAGTACTTTTCCCTCAATTCCGGGGTTCAGCCCAATAGCCCAAATTTGAGTAAATCGCATATACAGTAATGCCCCGTTTTTGTCAGCCCCCTGATGAATTTAGGGCTGACAAAAACGGGACACTGACAAAATCGGGACATTTTTTTTCGCTTAATTTTTTTAACATAATATCTTTAAATGCTGTTTGATAGTGCAAGATTTATGTTTTAGAAATCATTCAATATAAAGGAGCCCATTTAGGGGGGCGGGGGGAGCTGGAATTTAAAACTTTTCGTAAGTGTCATATAAGGAAAGACATTCTTACATTGATGCAAGGTTGCAAAGACTCATTTCAGCTAAAACAATGTTTTTCTAAATTATGAAATAATTAGATGCCATGATCATATTTTGAATTGGTAGGATACAAGAAGAGGTTGCAAAGAATGTGTTTGACATATTAAACCTGTTTATTTCACTTCATGAGAGTCACAATCAGCGATTTTTCACAAACTCACTCACTCACTCACTCACTCACTCAGCGATCAGCAAATCGCTGATTGTGACTCATAGAAAGCAAAATTTACAAGTTTTATGTTTCCAACGCATACTTTGTAACCTCTTCTTGTAAGTTACAAGTAAAACATGCCATCATACCATCTGTTGGTTTTATTATTCCGAAAAACATTATTTTAGCTGAAATGAGTCTTTGCAACCTTGCATTGATGGTGTGGAGGGGGGGGGGGTGCCTAAATTAACTTAGGTAAGAATTGAATGGCCACTCAAGTAGATCGAAGTCACCAACGAGGAACTCGTAGCAGTGGCGAAAGGATTGAAGGTGAAGAAAGCTCCCGGTCCAGATGGAATCCCCAAAGTAGCGTTGAAAGCGGCGATCCAGTCATCCCCGGACATGTTCAGGATGGTGCTGCAGAAATGCCTGAACGAGGGTCACTTTCCTGACAGGTGGAAGATACAGAAGCTAGGGTTGCTGCCGAAACCAGGAAAACCGCCGGGGGATCCAGCATCGTACAGGCCTATATGCCTGCTGCATACACTCGGATAACTCTTGGAGAGGATCATCCTAAACAGGCTGACGAAATATACGGAGAGTGAGCACGGATTGTCGGAGAGGCAGTTCGGATTCCGGAAAGGGAGATCGACGGTGGATGCAATTCGGACAGTGGTCGAGAGAGCTGAGAAGGCGTCTAAACAGAAGCGGAGAGGAGATCGATATTGCGCCATGATAACGATCGACGTCAAGAATGCGTTCAACAGCGCCAGCTGGGAGGCTATCGCCGAAGCACTGCATAGAATGAGGGTCCCTGACTACCTGTGCAGGATCCTGAGGAGTTATTTCCAGAACCGGGTTCTGGTTTACGAGACAGACATGGGACTGAGATCGATTAGGATCACAGCGGGAGTTCCACAAGGTTCCATCCTTGGTCCAACGCTCTGGAATGGGATGTACAACGGCGTGCTAACGCTGAAACTGCCCAAAGGAGTTGAGATCGTTGGCTTTGCGGACGACGTCGTCTTGACGGCGACGGGCGAGACGCTGGAAGAGGTGGAAGTGTTGTCAACCGAGGTAATCGACATGATTGGTAACTGGATGCAAGGAGCGAAGCTGCAGATAGCGCACCACAAAACGGAAGTGTTATTGGTCAGTAACTGTAAAGCGGTACAGCGGGCAGAAATCACCGTCGGGGAGCACACCATAGCCTCAAAGCGTGTGTTAAAATACCTGGGAGTGATGATCGATGACCGGCTAAACTTCAACAGCCACGTCGAATATGCCTGTGAGAAGGCTTCGAAGGCCATCAACGCGATAGCTAGAATCATGCCAAACAACACTGGTCCCAGCAGTAGCAAGAGGCGTCTTCTGGCCAGCGTGTCATCATCGATACTGAGATATGGAGGTCCAGCCTGGGTTCCAGCGCTGGAAACGAAGCAGAATCAAAGGAAACTGAGCAGTACGTTCCGGCTCATGGCCATGCGAGTCGTGAGTGCGTACATAACCGAAGCAGTATGCGTCGAAAGCAGTATGCGTTATCGCCGGTATGATCCCAATCGGCATCACCCTGGCGGAGGACAGCGAGTGCTACAGGCGGAGAGAAGCCGGAAGAGTACGGAAAGTTGTGAGAGTGGAGTCATTGGCTAAGTGACAACAGGAGTGGAACACTACGGAGAACGGTAGATGGACACAAAGACTAATACCGATTCTTTCGACCTGGGTGAACAGAAAACACGGAGAAGTCAATTTCCACCTAACGCAGTTCCTGTCTGGTCACGGCTGCTTCAGGGAATACCTGCATCGGTTCGGACACGCAGCGTCACCCCTCTGTCCGGAGTGTGGCAACGTCGATGAGACGCCGGAGCATGTGGTCTTCGACTGTCCAAGGTTCGAGGCAGTGCGAACGGAGATGCCCGTCCTTAACGTGGAGAATGTCATCGTTGAAATGTGTCGAGAGGAGGACACTTGGAATGCCGTCAGCAGGGCAGTCACGCAGATTATGTCGGAGCTGCAGCCTAAATGGAGAGAAGAGCAGCGATCTAGCAACGCCAGCTAGCGCTGAGAGTACAACAAGTGCATGAGCACAGCCACCCCTCGAAGTAGTCGCTTTACAGTGGTCTCGGGGGGATCCAGGCAGAGGAGAGAGTAAGGAATGGGTTTTAGTGGAGCTGTACTAGGCAACTAGTGGATACCACACCGTGCCAACTTCACTACAGGCTAGGCTTCTTGAAGCTTTCCTAAGCCTTACTATAAAAAAAAAGAAAAAAAAACACATGCATAACGTACATAATTTTCAACTAGCCCCTCAACCCTCCTTCCACTGCTTTGATTTTGCCACCACTGCACATTTAATTCTCGAAAAATGTCATTATTGAGCTAGACAGACCTCAACCTGACTGACAAAATCGGGTCAAAAAGCTGACAAAATCGGGGGTAGACAAAATCGGGGGTAGAC